TTTCCAAAATCCATTTAGAACCGAAGTCATTAAAGACTGGAGAAACAGAGACCCAATTCACTGAATCAGCAACACATTGTTTTCCATTCAGCCCACTGGGAGAAGAGCACTTTGCAGCTAGATGTTTAGATCATGTGTCTCTTAAAAAAAAAAAAGCTAAGAAGCATCTCTTAGGTTCCTTCACAGTAGCTGGAGCAACTTTCCTACTCATGTTCAGCTACACAGAAGTTTCAGCTGTATTTTCAGAGCTTAGTCACATATGTCAGTTTGGTGATAACATAAATAAATACATTTGAAATATATTTAATAGTTAGCTTTAGCATTTGTGTTTCCCTGGAGAGTTCATGAGGACACAATGCAGATGTAGATGAGTAATTCAGCACTTATGTAGTGATGTATGGCCAGTCTTCGCAAACGAAGATTTTGGGAAAGGTCTTTTACCTTTCCAGCCTGTGCAATGGATTTTTTTTTAGGTGAGACACAGCCTGTGCTGAACTGAGCCCACCCTTTAATCCTAAGGTTCACCTGCCGGGGCCAAGCAAGCTTGGACAATGGCAGTGAGGTCCTCAGGACGTAGGTTTTGTTTAGAGCGACCTTCTCATAGATGGATGGCCTCACAGGGCTAACGAGCTCCATCTGCCCGGGGGACTGGGAATTGAACCTGGGTCGCAGCGGTGAGAGTGCCGCATCCTAACCACTCGGCCACCAGGGGTCCCAACTTATGTAGTAAATTATCTTAGTATTACCTTAGACTATAAAAGAATATATGGGAGAAATGTTTTTCAAGAATAAGCTCAGAAAGTTTGGCTCTTGTTTTATATATCTTTAAAATTCAAACATTTTCTCAACTTTAAATAGAAAATAAGACATGATAGATATAAAATTAATGTGAATATGTGGATGCTTTGGTTTTCTGGGATGCCACTTTGATATTGTAGGATTGTTACTTCCAGAAATTATTTCATCCTTGAATAAATACAGTATAGTGCAACTAAAACGTATATATAGATCTCTTTAAAATGTTCAGTTATGAATATTACTTCTAAAGAGACTGATTCTCACCTGCCCCTGCTGTCCATTCTTCTTACTTTTGGCCAGGCAATATTTCCCTGTTTCTTTTTAAAGACTGGATCTGTTCTGCAGATTAAAAAGGAGGTTAAAAAGATTTCCCAAAGATGGAAGTGTTAAATTGCCATCAGTTTCTAGTAGTATTAGAGTAGTTAGCTCAGGATTCTGGTGTTTCTGTCTTTACATTGCTTTTCTCTGAGAGTGCCTCTAGGACCTGGGAGTTAAAAGTATAAAAAACAATTTAACAAGAACATACATAATGATAAGTTTTATTGTGCTGTAGTTCCATGGTTTAACTCTTCCCCTAGTGGTCCAAGGATTTGGAAGGTCTAAGTAAATTCCCACTAAGGGAAAAGAAGGCAACAAAATTTTTAATAATGCTGGTGTAACTTTGCTGTGAGAGGCACAGTGAACATGAATTAAATTAGATTTTAAAAAATTGGGATCCTTTTAATTCCTTGACAGTTATGACCTAAAGCTGTAGATCTCACAATTTTAAATAATCACTGCTAGTATTAATAATTGTTATTATCTAAAACTCTGGTGCTTGGAAGACATGGCGTTGCAATTACCACATGAAATTCCAAGGGCTTAATTGTGTCTCCTCAGCTCAAGATCTCAGAGGGAGTACAGCTGTCAAGGATTACAAAGCCTCATGCTGTCCTACTTGGGCTGGAAGGTAGAACACACAGATCCCTGCAGTCTCTATTGTAGTAGAAGCTAAACTGTAGGACCTCCAGAAGTCCAATTAGATCATCTCCTAAACTTGCTGTTTTGGATGCCCTCAGAGTGGTCAGCTAGGGCTAGCCTTCGGTAAATAACTAGAAAAATAAAATCCTCAAACTAATGCGAGGACTGGGTGATACTGAGACCTTTGTAACACAAAACAGGATGGATGCTTATTTTCCCTGTAATATGACCTTTCTATTTATGCATTCTGTGAAGTGGTAAAATACAGTTACCTGTCTGAGCTGCATCCTTTCACTAATATGTATGCTTGTGTAGATACACACTGACAAAGTAGTGGCTTTCTAATTTACTCTCAAGATGGCAAGATCTATAAAAGTTCAGTAACCTTTATAGAACAGCCTGTTATGGTGAATGTGTGCTTCACAGGTTTCTGAGGACTTAAGAAGCAAGAATAGCATTACTTCCCAGCAGTTAGCACTTCAACCCTGTTTGAAGCTACTGATCAGTCCAGGAAACATCCAGGAGATAACTGATTACAACCCTCTGTCTCAGAGTAGCATGCTATCACCTGCACTAGTGCTAAGCCTGGTACCAAACTTCAGTGGTTGATATAAATGCTAGTAATTCAAAAAGAGTGCAGCAGTAACCTGGTGATACAGAACTGTGCTACAGGCTGTTAAAATCAGAAAAAAACTTCAGTTACTGTACTGAAAATGAGTGACATAGAACAGAATAGAATCAAATAGAACAGGATAGGATAGAATAGAATTGGAAGGGATCTACAGTGGTCATCTAGTTGACTGATTTGAGGGTTGACCAATATTTACATCACGTTATTAAGGGCATCGTCCAAATGTCTCTTAAATCCTGATGGTCATGGGGCATTGATGACCTCCCCAGAAAGCCTGTTTCACTGTTTGACAATCCTTCTGGTAAAGTAACGGTTCCTAAACTCCAGTGTGAACCTCGCCTGATGGCACTCTGAACCATTCCCACGCATCCTATCCCCGGATCCCAGGGCAAGAGGTCAGCACCTCCGGCTCCTTGTTCCCTCTTCAGGAAGCTGTAGAAAGCAATGAGGTTGCCCCTCAGCCTCCTGTTCTCCAAACCAGACAAATTCAGTGTGTTTAGGTCCACTTAGCAAGCCATGCCTTCCAGGCCATTCACCAGCTTTGTTGACTTCCTCTGGACACATTTAAGGACCTTCACATCCTTAAATTGTGGGCCCCAGAACTGCAGACAGTACTCCAAATGAGGCTCACCAAAGCTGAATACAGTGAGATAACCACCTCCTTTGTCTGGCTGGTTATGCTGTGTTTGACGCATCCCAGGATGCAGTTTGGCCTCACGGCTGCCTGGATACATGGCTGAGTCACATTGAGCTTAATGTCAGCCAGCACCCCCAGATCCCTCTCTGCAGCTCTGCTCTCCAGCCACTCCTCTCCCATTTTACACTTGTACCTGGCATTACTTCATCCTCAATGCAGAATCCAGCATTTCAACTTTTTAAATTTCATTCCATTAATCATAGCCTAATGCTCTGATTAGTCCAGATCCCTCTGCAGGGCCTCTGGTCCCTCAAGACAGTCAACAGTATCTCCCAGTTTGGTATAATCAGCAAACCTAAATTCTATATCCAGATTGTTGATAAATATATTGAACAGAACTACTCCTAGGATTGAGCCCTGAGGAACAGCTGGGGTGACCGGTCACCAGCCAAACATAGCCCTGTTCAGTACAGCTGGGCTCATCCATGCTACAGAGTTGTACCACTTCAGCTGGAATTGCCTTTCAAAGAGAAGGCAGCATGAAAATTATTCTAGTGCTAATATATTTTAATTAGGCTTAGATAAACCAATTCCTTTTTAGTTTATGATAAACTGACTTGTTTTAACTGAATGTTTTGTTTATTTGACTTAAACTAAATGTAAGTCACTCCTCCTGAAATGAAGATATTGAGGGACCAACTGCACATATTTGGTTAATATCCTAGACCCTGTTGCACTTTTCCCCATTAGGCAAATTGATTTAAATTGTTGAGATTTTCTGTCAATGTTTCTTAATAGTATACTTTGATATTGTCTCAAGATTTTTGTTTTCTAATATTCTAAAAGTATATCCTTGGAATTTGTCACTAACTTATTTCGAGTTCTCTTTGAGTCTTTACTCTTGAACTTTCAAGTTTCCTACATCTGTGTTCTTATAGATGCAAATTCAGAATACTGTGGGATTTTTAAGATTAAAGTTTCCAAGTGTTGCTCCATCCTCTCTGGTGATTCCATTCATCTCTATTTACAAAACCAAGCCTGTTTCCTGAGGTCACTTTGAGAGTTTCAACTTGATATGACAATAAGCTCGATTGTCCCTTTTTTTCCTCATGATTGAGGAACTTGAAACTAAATTATTAAGTGTCTTACAAGATTTGCAGTGCAATAGCAGGTCAAATTCCAAATGATTTGGAAAGACATTCTCCCAAAGATGGTGAGACTGAATGTTTGTTTTTAGGTGAGTGAAGCTGAAGTTTCAAATTATGAATGTTTAGATAGTGATGACTCGGAAAGGAAAATTTCTTTTTCAAATTGTGAAGGCCATCTTAGTTTAATAATTAGGTTACTGCTGTGTACTGAAGGGATGAATGAAAACCATTTTTATTGTACCATTGTGAAATTGTGAAATTTGCTATTTTGCATTATTTGATTTTGTACCTCAAGCGAGTTATTATCATTTCCATCTTTCTTTCTTTTACTTCTTTTTTGCTTGCATTTGGTAGAAAGATATTCTTGTTGGATAGTCTGATGCTGTGAATATCCTTTTAATAATTTAATTATATAAATAACCAAATCTAGTCTGTCTTACAGTACATTTCCTTAAGCAAACTAGCTGAAATGCTTTTTAATAACCCTATAGCCATTTGATGATTGAAATATTTGGCATTTGAAGACAGTTTGGATATGGATTGATATAGAATTACTTAAAGTACTGCATATAAATTAAACATTAAAAAGGTAGATGCAGCCAGACTAAGCAGCTCAGTTATAATCTTTGGTTATGCAGTTACTGCCTGAAGGATACTCCATCTATTTCATATCGTATGTCTTTCTTTTGAAAGATGATCAGTGGGTTCAAGTAACATTTCAGCACACAGGAAATTGCATAATTTATAGACTTTAAGAAATGAAAAACAGAAAACCAGTTTTCATAAATTAAGTCTCCTTATCCTTTTTTCTTCCCTGCTCTTACAGATTGGAACACTGAAGGATTACTACCACTTCTACCATAGTAAAACAATTAAAAGGTCAGTTCTCTCAAGTAGAGGTACCCACAGCTTCATTTCAATGGAACCAAAGGTAAGAAACTCCACACGTGTCTGAGGAAAAAGCCTTTGCATTTTTTATATGAAATATTATACCAGAGGGCATTCATCTGAATGGCATACAGCATTACAAGAATTGACACACTATCTGTTTTCTAAGGTTCTGCTTCTCATCAAAACAAAGTGAAGACAATACCATGCTATTAAGTATGTGCTGTTCTTGGAACATGAGGTCCAACATTATTCCTGGATGAGTACAGGAATTTTGTTAATGCACTAATCACTGTGCTGTGCCTCTCTGCAAAACCACATGCATAACATTTATGTCTACAGATCCCCTTCTGTAAAACAACCAGCTTTCAAAATGAAAATGAGCAATGTGGGATGGTACAATGTTCAGAGGAAAGTTTCTCTTGCTTTTTTCTGGTCTTTTTTCTAGACTTGGTTTATGAGGGATTAAGAAGAATACTTTATTCTGTGGCCCTTTTGGTAGTTCCTGCTGTTCTTAATTTTGAGATCTGTTTGAAAAATAGTGCCTTTTCTTTGTAGTATACACTATAATAGGTAACTGTCAACATAATTTAATTACTGATTTATACTTAAGTATTATATCCTCTTGTATCTTTACTCAGGACACACTTTGGTTTTGATCTTTTAATTTCAATGATTAATAGCTTCGTCACTGACTGTAGAATTGGATTTCCTCCTGTTTTCTTTCAGAAAGGAAGTTTGGTGAAGCTCTGATTAGCTTTTTTTATGCTGTTCATGCAATGCAGTTTTGCCAACAACCCCACAAGCCAGTAGTGTGGTCATAACAGAGTCAAGCTTTTTTAAAGTTAATGGATGATGACTGTTGTCTGTGAAGGATTTGTCAGGTTTTACTTGACAAATAATTTAGGAGAAGTAAAAGTTACCAGTAAAGAGTTTGAACACTCTACAAGTTGAGCATCATATAGGAATATTTCTGCAGTCTGGAAAGCTGTATTTAGAGCTGAAGTTCCTCTTGAGGATGAGGATGGGACAAGACTAGGAAAGTGCACACAAAGCTATGTTCACTTCTGTGTTACGGCTGAACTGCTTAACCCTTAAGAGCACCAGTAGCTCTGCTGAGCAGTGTATATTGGGGATTAGTTAGAAAATGATCAGGGCCCAAATCTCTGTTCCCATCAGTACTGACGCCCACCATTCAAAACAAGCACTGCACACAGACTAGGTGAAAATGTGAAAGGAAGGGAAAGTGTTCACGTCTCTGTCAGTCCATGCTCTTTCTGTGTACACAGAGTGGGAGAGATTTACACACAAATGCGCAAGTTCACCATAAACTTTGGTGTTAAACCCAGCTTCCAGATACCCCTTCTGCACCACTGGCAGAGCCAAGACTACTTTGGCAAGAATAGTAAGAGACTCTAAGACACAGCAGAAAATCAGAGTTATCGTTTCTTTTCCAGTGCCTTCCATATTATGCCATTTAGGCTTGTCCCCAATATGTGCTGCTGCTGGTATGGAACTTCTGAATTTCTGAATCATTGTTACATATCACTTCAATATTGAGAAGCTCTGGTGAGGGTTATGTTAATGATTCTGTACCCAAAGAGAAACCAACAGTCTAATACCTAGGTCTGGCAAAAAGTGTTTGTGCTTCACTTTATGACTGGATTACTGAACCTGAGCTTGAGAACTCTTGTGTGGCTGCAGACATGTCAATATATGGACATGCATTTGTAACATGAAGACCACTTTGTCCTCAGCATGTATAACATTTAATGATTATTAAAGCAGACTGGCAATTAATTGTATGGTCCTTTTAAAACAAAAAAGCTGGTCCTTTTAAAACAAAAGGTTTAATATTAAATAAGGCACATTGCATTGCTGTGAGAATTTGAAAGGACCATCACTACTATGAGTATGATGGTATCTTATGCCAATATTTGCAGCAGATTAGATGACATGTATTTGTGAACAAAGAAACACTGAACTTTGTTTATTTTCCAGATAATTTTGTGGTAGCTTACTTAATGCTTAAAATCATATCTCTGTAGCATGCACTTAGCTTGTTCTGTGCTTGCTTCAGACCTGGATCACTAATTGGCTTCTTTACAAAATTTTAAAGGATGGAATTCTTATTGAATGGCAATTTATTATGTAAATAGCTGGCATATAATGGAAGAACCATTATGAAATTTGGTACTTCTGAGCAATTGACATGGATAGTGTTTGATTTCATTGTGTGAATGCACAATGAAAGATGTAGAAGTAATAGAAAATCTTGCTATTGTGGATTTCAATTAATGAATTGCTTTGAAGATCTTTTTTCTGGAAAAGCCTCTTGACACTATTATAAAAACTATGAATAGATCCAACAGAACAAAATAACTGGACATGGCACTTAGTACTGTAGTCTAGTTGACAAGGTGGTGATTGGTCAAAGGTTGGGCATGGTGATATTGGAGGTATTTACCATCCTTTATGATTCTGTGATAAACTGAAGACATGTGAATTACACATTTTGACAATTTCCTCAGCATTAACCTGTATTAAGCGCATACCATCTGTATTTAGATGAAAAGATAAAGGATATGCAGTATAACACAATTTTGTCCATTATCTCCATTATCATCCACATCCTTGCCTAGAAATGCTACAAGTTTTCATCTAGAGATGTAAAGAATTAAGTTGTTTTAGGAAGAAATGCCCAAGTGAGGTTTTAATTTCCTTAACATAGATTGTAATGTAGAAAATTTGAAACATTGCTTTAGCTACATCATCTTTTCTAGGCCAGTGTATAGTTATGTGATGTTTCCTATGTGTTGATAGGGAAACAGAAGTGAAAGAAGTCTGTGGATTCGAAGGAGAGATCAGTACTATGCATCAAAGCTAATAATGGAATGAAATCTATTACAGAGGTTTCTGGTCTCTCCAGCTCATGTGCTGTTTGTGGTTGGCCTTCGGCAGGGATCAATGAAAGCACCATACCATGAATTGAGAGCCTTTTTTAGCTCCATATGGTTTGCTTTGCAAGGTTATTTTGGTGATGCTACAATGCATGAAACAATGGGAGCAGGAGCGAAAAGGAAGTGGGAAGAATCAGTCCATAGCTGAAAGGTATCATGAAGCTCTAATTCAGCTATTAATTAGTTGCGTGTATTGCTGGTAGGACCTGTATTGAAAGCAGATTATTACGGCACTTCCAGGGGTGGGAATAAGGAGCTGAGGTGTACATCTGGGTTTGCTGCTGTGGTGAAATGAAGAGTCACAAAGTTAGAAACATTGCAAACAAAGATTGAAAACACAGTCTGAAAGTCAGACTTTACATAAATAGAAAGCATAAGGAAAATCAAGTGGAGCTTTTCTGTTAATGAAGAGTTTGCAATTCCGATGAAATATGAGTTGAAGTGCCTAGGCATGACAATAGTACATGGAATTTAAATGGACAGCATATCTGAGAAAGCTGTCTTTTTATACTGAACTGTTACATAAGATGAGTTTTAGTGATAAGCTGCGATAATGAATTTGTGACTCATATGGTAAAAAATATCCCACAGAATTAAGTATTAATCCTAGAAGACGACAATTCTTAAGGTAGTAAAAGGCAACTTTAACAGGGATAATATATTCAAACAGATATATTAAAGTTTGTTCCATTTTGCTTATGAGATCCCCAATGTTTCACATCTCAGTGGAGATCTGAAAAAGACATGTGGACCATAGTGATGCTCAGAAATGTAGAATTAATAATTTGTGTTCCTGTAAAGTGTCACATTTATCAATTTTGCAGCATTAGTGTTTGTTTATCAATCTCTACTAAGATGGCAGCTCATAGTTTTTTCATTGTAATTAATTTCAGGTAGGTTTATTTGAGGTTTGAACTATTGATGGGTCAGGTTCATTCATCTTTGAGAAACAGAAAGATTTCAACTAAAATAAGAGGTAAAGCTACCTAATTTCAGGAAGATACTCTCTTGGAGCATGATTTTGCAGAAGTGTCGTACCTTTGTCAACTCTTCTCCAGGATCAGAATACCTGGGAAAACAATACTCCAGGCATTTACATGTTGTCCAGCCTGAATTCACCACACACAGAGCGGATCAGAACGATGTGGTGATAAAAAAATGTTAGAATGGGGAAGGAAAGGGAGGAAGTCTTAACCTTTGCGATAACAAGCTGAACAGAACTCTTGATAGCAGCATGTAAAATGTTGGCAAGCATATCTTTGATTACACCAAATGATCTGAGCTGTCTTCAGGGGATAGGAAAGTAATGGCAGAATCCTGTCCTTATTACTGGTAAGACAGTTGTGTTCTTGAGAGGGTAGAGGGGAGCAGAATTAAAGCAGCCACAAGTAACCTAGGGCTTCTAAAAGCCAGCACCATGGACTTGAAGCTTAGAGAAATTCAGATGAGAATGTTGTTATTTGTAAGATTGTGTTTCATATTGGCAATGATATGTGTTTAGTTGTTAAAGCTCAGTGAACAAGAACATTTTATTAGCCAAATAACTCAACAGTTAAACAGTGGGATCAGGTGAGTTACTGCTGTCTGTGTGGGTAGCCCTAACATATACAAGCACACAGGGGACCAAGGGTCAGTACAATGCTACTTGGTTGCAAAATAACAGGAACTGTCATGCTGTTTTCATGTTCAGAGTTTGACTGGAGGTTTAAGTTAGTTATTAAATAATGCAGTATTTACATCAACCTGCACCTCAGGAAGTCCTCCATCATCCCCACATCACCATCGGCCAATCAGAGCTCAAATCAGTCCAACAGTTTAATTACCTAGGCAGCCTCATCTCCTTGGATGGTAAGATTGACAGGGAGATAGACAACAGGTTAGCAAAGGCATATAGAGCTTTCAGAAAACTCCATAAAAGAGTATGGCTTAATAAACACTTGAAGAAAAGTACCAAGATCAGTGTTTACAGAGCCATAGTGCTGTCTACTCTTTTATATGGTTTCAAATCATGGGTCATCTACCGCCACCACCTGCGACTCCTAGAACGCTTCCATCAACGCTGCCTCCGTACAATCCTAAACAT